TATATATATATCAGACTATTAATGTTAAAAATAAAAAGTAATATTTGGTTTTATATACATTTGAGGAGTACGAGCAGCTCCCAAAGAGGCAAAGAGATTTGGAGAGCCAGAATGATCTGACAACTGACAGCAGCAAAGGTAGCCAGCCTACCAATGTATGGTTAGACTTTTAGATTCAGGGCAAGCGGGAGGAATAAGAAGATGAGCATAGCATTAGAAGTTGAGTGCTTCTAGGCTCCCGAGCTTGTTTCGAGGTCATTACTTTTAGATTAGTCAGTGCTTTCCAGGCAGGTCATTACTTTGAATGAAGAGCTTCGTCAAATGTGTGATGATGAGATGCATGAGGACCGATAGATGGTCCATCACCCCTTAGCATAACTGACATAGAGTACTGCAGATTGGCATGACAAGCACCCTATGAATTTTGTGGAGGAGTAGGATGAGGGAGAGGTGGGTGAGGATGATTTTGAGATTGATGATGATCCCCCATCATAGGGGTTGATGTACTTTTTTTTTCTCTTTCTTAGCATGTGAACATACTTTATGTGTTTAGATGTAAATTTTCACGTCTTTAGATTAGTATTTATTATTCTATGTTTGCATTCATTATTGTTACTTGTTTGTGAAATAAGTTGTGAGTTGTGATGTTGGATGAGTACAATATTATGATATTTGTTTTTATCGGTAAACAATGAACCTAAAGATATTTGTATATATATATATATATAGATAGATATAGATATAGACATATATATATTAATCTGGTATGATTGAGCTATTAGTCATATTTTTGGGTGTCTTCTCTAAAAGATGGAGAAAGGGCCTATATTAACCCACCTGGAGCCTTAGAGCCTATGTAAAATTGTCTGCCTTGGCATATAATATTATGCTTAATACAAAATGTCAAGTCTAGGTTCTTTCCATATAAAAAATGATGTGTTAGTCTCATTTATAAATCGGAGACGAGATTCATACGCTTCATCCATCACTACGGGAATAAAGGCTTTTTTCGATGACCAAATTACATTCGTTACGGTAGTGAAGCACAAATCACCACCCAAACACTTAAACCCTGGAGCTGTCACGACGACAGAAGCTTGAAGCCAACTTTGTGGGCAGCACGACGAGGAGCTTGAAGCGAACAACAAGAGGATCTTCTTCAGCATTATCCCTTCTTAGCATAATAACAACCCATAAGACTTCGAGGTAGCTCGCCTAGAGCGACGTAAATCCTCACCCTCTTTTAGGCCCCTGCACAACCAAGTTGTGCAGCATACGTCCTAACTCGCTTTAGGTTCCGAGGTTGTTGTGTGGTACGACGTAAACCCTCCTTTCTCTGTGGGCTATTTGCATAATCGGGTATTATGCAAATGTAAGTCCCAAATAATAAAATTGGCAAGATCAAACACTTAATTAATTTCATCTCCAAAATGTAGCCACACAGTAGGATAGTTTGGGAAGTCACTGGGTCCGATGAAAAGCTATCAGAAACTTGTAGCATAAAAATAATCAGATTTTCTGCTTCTTATTTACAATACCACACATTTTATCATAATATCTAACATACATTCCAAACATTTAACAAATCAGAATAAAAGTCGAATAGTAATTATCCAATCATATAATGATATAAATTAAACGCATGTACTCCAAAATAGATGCATCATTGTGTTGAGAATAAGTGGAGCCCGTTCCACTGTTCTTCTTAAGAAATTAATTAATTGCTTCTTAATTAATTGATTAATTAATTCCTTCCAATTCTATCTCCCGATTTTATTTCAGAATCTCCCGCCTTCTTTCTTTCCTATGGAGGGTCCCTCCATCTTCATGTAAGCGCGTGGAAAAATGGATTTATGTGTGTGTGTGCGTGCGCGCGGACGGTAGGTGTGGCTACAGGTGTAGGCTTCTTTGTTAGAGTTGTTTCAGTGACAGAACACAAGGCTTCTCTCTCCAATTTTTTGGTGTTTTCTCTTGTGGTTCTCGTGTAGAGAGAGGAGTTTTATTTATTGTAATCGTTGAGGCGATCGACGGGTATAATTCCTCAAACAAATAAAACCATATGCTACTCCGTGGGTGTAGGCAATTTGTCGAACCACGTAAATCTGTGTGTTTCCGTTATTGTATCTGCTTTGTAAATTTCTCGATCTAATTTTTCGTTTTATTACCTTCATTTTTCACAACAACTGGTGTCAGAGCGTTGGTTCGGATCTAAGAAAGAACGATGGGTGCAAATGAAGTGATGACATCGAGGATCGAGAAGTTCAATAACACAGATTTTGCTTACTAGAGGATGCAAATAGAATACTACCTCTATGAGAAGAAAATTCACTTGTCGTTGCTGGGAAAAAAGCCAGAAAAGATGGACGAGGCGGAATGGAATCTGTTGGATTGACATATTTTGGGGGTTATTCGATTAACCATGTCGAGATCGGGTGTCCACAACGTCATCAAGGAGATGACTTTTGCAGATCTCATGGAGGCTTTATCAGGCATGTATGAAAAGTCATCGACGAATAACAAGGTGTATTTGATGAAAATGTTATTCTGTTATTCAACTTGAAGATGGCGGAAGATGGCGGAAGGTGTCTCTATTGCTCAATACTATCACAATTCAATTGTTGTCTGTTGAAACTTATTTTGATGATGAGATGCGTGTGCTGATATTGTTGATTTCATTATCAAATAGCTATGAAGTCATGAGGATGACAGTTAACAGTTCTGCAGGTAAATTCAAACTAAAATATGACAATATTTGTGATTTGATTTTGGCTGAGGAGGTGCGCAGAAAAGATTCTGACGAGACCCCGAGTTCGAGTTCGACACTGACTGTTAATTCCAGAGTGAGATCGCAGGAGAAGAACTCAAACAGAGGAAGATCAAAATCAGAGTCTGGTCAGCAGACAACTTGCTGGAATTATGACAATATTGAACAAATAAAAGAAACTGCACAAACCCTAAAAGAAGGAGAATGATAACACAAATGTGGTAACTGAAGAAATACGAGTTGCGTTATTGCTGGTAGTTCACAGTTCTGTTGATGACTGGATACTGGATTCAGGGACTTCCTTCCATACATCTTCCCACCGGAAGTTAATGGGGAACTATGTTGCAGATAACTTTGGAAAGGTAAATCTGGCTGATGGAAAAGCTCTACATGTGGTGGGGATGAAAGACGTTGATATTGCACTCCTAACAAGAGCAAATGAACTTTGCAAAAGGTCAGACACGTTCCTAAATTGAAAAAAAACATCATCTTTGTTGGCCAGCTTAATGAGGGTGGTCATTCGGTAGCGTTCTTAGATAGCACCTTGAAGGTTACCAAATGAGCATTAGTACTGGCTCGGGATAAGAAAACTGACACATTATATATGACTACTAGTTTACTCAACATTATTTCTACTACAGTTGCAGAGAGCACGACAGATCAGCAGCATTGCATACTAGGTCACATGAGTCAGAGCTATAAAGAAATCTTGCAAGATGAGAATTTGAGCAAGTGGGAGTTGACCAAGAAGGAGAAGATGGATTCTCTGTCAGAGAATCCGACTTGGGAGCTGACAGAACTTCCACCAGAGAAAAAGGCAGTGCACAACAAGTGGGTGTACCGGGTGAAAACTGTGTTTAGTGGCAGTAAGAGGTATAAGGCTGGACTTGTTGAAAAAGACCTTCAGCTGAGGCGGGATATTACTCATGCAATGGGAGTTGTAAGCAGATTCATGAGCAAACCAGGAAATAACTTGGAGGTACAAGACTACGTTGACATTGATATGTCAACTAAGAGTGTTACTCTTGAGAAATTGAAGTTGTGTGCAACTTCAGTTGGTCTTCTGGCATAAAAACCGGGGGGTTAAGCTGCAGAGGTGGGGGAAAGTGGAGGATGGTGGAAGATATCACGTTCGAGGAAAAGGGCGGTGCAGCCACTAGATGGTGCAGTCAGTGTAACAGTCTTCAAGTGAGAGAATTATTGAGAATAAGTGGAGTCTATTCAACTGTTCTTATTAAGAAATTAATTAATTGTTTCTTAATTAATTAATTAATTCTCCTTACAATTAAATCTCCCACTTTTCTTTCAGAATCCCGCCTTCTTTTTTCTTATGGAGGTTCCCTCCATCTTCATGTAAGAAGATGGAAAATTGGATATATATATATATATATATATATATATTTTTAAACCTACAATTTTATGCCTTATCATTGGCTACAACTTTAGGCTTCTTAGTGTTATTTCGATGACCAAACGCAAGGCTTCTGTCTCCTATTTTTGGTGTTTTCTCTTATGGTTCTCGCGTAGAGAGAGAAGAATAGGAGAGAAAGTTTTCTTTACTGTAATAGTCAAGCCGATCGACTGGTGTAATTCCTCAAGCTAATAAAATCCTCTGCAACCCTGTGGACGTAGACAACTTGTTGAACCACGTAAATCTGTGTGTTTGTTCCGCTGCTTTTCAGTCTTGTAATTTTTCTCGATCCGATTTTTCGCTTTACTATCGTCGTTTTTCACACCACACTGTTCACAGAAAAAATAAATGTTCAAATGTACAACATAGACATGAAAAACTAGGAAGATCGAAGATGAGAATTTACAGGCCTGTGCCGGCTTTGGGCAAAGCTATCTATTTGTATTGTTGTGTGTGTAATTTAAAGAGAAAAACAAGCTGAGGATGTGGAGCTTTTTAAGGTTGAATTAAGCAGGGCATATCCAGGCCAGTATTAGGGAAGAAAGTGCGCGGACTGTAATTTTTATATATTTTTTTATGTCACCACAATCATTTGAATATTTGTAAGATATTCAAGCTTTTTTGGTCATGTATGACCAAGTTATAATTTTCTTCTTTGAAATCTTCACCGCCAATTGGAGGAGATGTTTGTCTTTACATCTTTTCTAACATATTGTGGAGATATTTTTAGCTCTCCTGACATGCTTATTTGTCATATAGTGTTGTGCTCCACACCCCCCCTGTGTGGAGAGGGAGACTGACCAGTTGACATTTAAAACAAAGAGAAAAAATTTTACTAATTAGTGCATATAACAACATACTGTGTAATAAACTTAAAACAAAATAGTACGCAAAAATTATGAATATAAAACACGAAACTGTAAAGTGCAAGGTAAAAAGACTAAAACCAAAAACACAAAAGGACTTAATAAAGTGAAATTTAGAATACGACAAAAAAATACAATAATCCAATATTCAAAATAACTTGCACATTTTTGCATTTTTTTATTGCAAAAGATTCTCTTGTCTTTATTACACCAAAGATTTGAAAAAGAAAAGAAATCGAAGAACTAAATATATATACAAAAAAGATGTCAGCATGGAGAAACCGTAACGACGAGCGACTAAAGCGACTGAATCAACCGATCGATCATTTCCCTCTCGAACCAAGTCATGGAAGTCTAACTTGGGTATGTTGAGACATTCGGCAGTCAATAACTTCGACTCGCTTGCCCAAGCTTGCATGCTTGAGCAATTGACATGTCTAAAGCATGGACCTTCCTACAAGCTCCTTAAGCTCGGTAGTACCCTCTGAAAAAATAATGAGTTCGTTAGTGTAATGATACT